TTTATCATCAGGTCTCCAGTGTTTGCAGAGAGAGCGTTAGCTGATTATTAACCTAAATTCAGTCTAAAACATGCAAGTTTCAATGACTGCTTTAAGGAAACCCACCAGTGTGCATTCCCAAATTGCAACTGAAGAGCAGCTTGTTTACCAGTTGCTGAAAACTATTTTTTGAAGATAACTATTTTGTTTTGTCTGGAGAGCTATATGTTTGAAGTTTTCACATTTACAATTATGATGAAAGCTATCAATATGAAAAGAAAAAGAAATCCTAAAAGTAGTCCCTACTACAAACTGGGTTTTACCCAATTATAGAATTGTCTCAGCATGAGTGGGGAGAGGCAGGCCACCAGGGGCTCTCTCTCTCCGCTCCTTCTCCCCTTACCACATGTGTGCATGCTCACACACCCCTGAGAAAGTTAATAACACCAAAGGGGTCAAATGCCAGGAAATTATAGTCATGTAATTTTGGTTTTAAATGGAAAATCAGTTCTGTGTCATTTTCTGATCTTAGAAAAACAAAGCAGGCCAGGCATAGTGGCTCACCCCTATAATCCCAGCACTTTGGGAGGCCAGGGCAGGAAGATCTCTTGAAGCCAGGAGTTCAAGACCAGCCTGAGCAACATAGCAAGAACCCGTCTCTACAAAAACATTTTTAAAATTAGCTAGGTACAGTGGCGTGCACCTGTAGTCCCTGCTACTCAGGGGGCTGAGGCGGGAAGATTGTTCGGACTCAGGAGTTTGAGCTTGTAGTGAGTTATGATTATACCACTACACTCCAGCCTAGATAACAGAGAATCTGTCTCAAAAAAATCCAGGCATGGTGGCTAATGCCTATAATCCCAGTACTCTGGGAGGCCAAACCAGGCAGATCACCTGAGTTCAGGAGTTCAAAACCAACCTGGCCAACATGGCAAAGCCCCATCTCTACTAAAAATACAAAATTAGCCAGGCATGGTGGTGGGCACCTATAATCCCAGCTACTCAGGAAACTGAGACATGAGAATCACTTGAACCTGGGAGACAAAGCTTGCATTAAGCCAAGATCGCACCGCACCACTATACTTCAACCTAGGTAACAGAGCAAGACTCCATCGAAGAAGAAGGAGAAGGAGAAGAAGAAGGAAGAAGGAAGAAGGAAGGAGAAGGAGGAGGAGGAGAAGAAGAAGAAATACAGAAAGCAATGTTGGCATCATGTTTGCAGTGAGATTCAAATCAGTCACTCAATTGCTGTCAGACATCCCTCGGGATGGATTGTTTAGTATCACTGCAGGGCTTCAAGGATCCTAGCACGTACTAAATCCTAGTTCAAACTTAGACCCTCGGAATTTCCTCCATCCCTGCCTGAAACTGTCTTAATCTCTGTCCATTCCAGGGCCCCTTGTTGGAGAATGGCTTTTCTATCCAACCCTTCGGTCCTCTAGGCTTTGGTTTATGGGCCATCCAGTACCAACAACCTTTTGCAGACATTCCTATGGCTCAGGGGCCTAACAAGCCCTATCTCCCCGTGTGTTATTTCCTCTATCACACTCCTAGTAGGCCTGAAGAATGTTCATCAGTCAGTCATCTGCATTTGGGCTAGCTGGACGTCAGCTGGTTTCTGAAGTTATTCGGTCTGCTTAGTTTTGCCCGTGAGTGGGTGACCTCAGAAGTAGGCACCATTAATGAATTTCCTTCGAGGGCCAGGAATAGAAGTGAGCCTCTTTCTGTTTCAAAGCCTTATTCATTTCTGGGCGATGCCCTGACGGTTAGACACTTTCACTCAGGGTGAAACAGCAAATGTCTCCTGAATTCAGTGCGCAGCCAAGCCTTCCCAAGTTCGGCTAGCAAACCTGCTGCTTCCCAGTTTCTCTCTGTAATTTATCACTTAGATGACCTTCCGCTGGTGGGTCTCTGAGACTCTTGTCTTTACAAGATCAATAATATTTTAAGTACACATTAAGGAAAACTGACATGATTCCCTCCAAGAAAAAGAGACTTATAGTTTCGGTCCCAGAAAGCCTTCATGTATTTATTTATTCATGGAGAAACAAAAGAAGTATGAGGATTCAGTACTGCACAGTTTATTGATCAGCAAACTTTTCATCTTTTGCTTTGTAAACATTTGAGACCGGAATGTGCTGCTGCAGAAGTACCAGCTTCTAAAGCCTGGTGTCTGGCTTTGCCAGTTGAGCAGAGCTGAGGGCTAATGACATCAAAGTGAGAAGCCCACCGAAGTGGCACAGGATCTCTTTCCTTGTCCTTCAAGATAGGCCATGGGCAATTAGAAGGACCAGGAGAGAAAACAGATGCATATGCATCCCAACAACTTCCGGAAGAGCTGCAAAGACTACCACATACAGAGAGTGAACTGGTGGTCCTGTCTGCATACAAAGGATGCTATGCTTGGGTGTGGAGTATGGAAGTGGGACCCAAAGGCAAATCAGCAGTGACCTGGTTTTTCGTTATGATCTGCAATATCACACATGGCCTGTTCTTAAGTGGCCATTTTGGAACTGACTTGTTTAGACTTTGTGGCACAGGGCCTCATCACCTGTCCTGAATTCTGTGTGAGTGAGTTTTATGCTGCTCTCAGAGGGAGAATGGTCTTGCCTATTTTTTTTTTTTTTTTTAATCTGGGTGTTTGAACTCTTTCTAAGTGTCTTGCACAATTATCATCTGTTACATTAAATTAAACTTGGCTTGAGGATGCCTTGATATTTTGGAGTCATTATGTAATGAATTGCCACCTCACTTGGGACATGAATTAACTGAAAGCCTAATTTGGGAGTATACTTTTGCAACAGAGAGTTGAGTCTCAGCCAATCACAACAGCCAAGCTTCAGTCAATCGCAGGTGGCCAACTGATCAGACCATGTTGAAATAAAGCACACGCTGAGCTGTAACCAATCCAGCTGCTTCTGTGCCACCGTCCTGTTCCCCATCCATAAATGCTGCCTGCCCACGGCTGCGGAACAGAGCTCTCTCCGCCCTTTCTGGTTCTGCTTCTGAGTAAGGACCACCCTGTTCTCACGCTGTTCTTTGCTCAGTTAAACTGTACATTTACTTTGTCTAAAGTCTTTATTTTAACACTTCAAATTTCTTAAATATTTTAAAGCCTAAAGCCTATTTTAGCATGCTTTGCCAAATATCATAGGATGAGTTACACTCTACATTAAATCCCATATATCTGGTAAATGTACTGCAATGTAGAAAATCTATAGTGCCTCCATTTTTAACATCTTACCCTTCAAAGGTCTTAAAAAACGAAATGTATGTAGAATCACAGTGAGAAGATCCATTATCATGCTCTAGAACTTACAGGATTTACAAAATTTAAAATTGAGCTAAGCTAGTTTTTTTGTTTTGTTTTGTTTTTGAGACAGAGTCCCACTGTGTCACCCAAACTGAAGTGTAGTAGAGCAATCTCAGTTCACTTCAGCCTCTGCCTCCCAGGTTCAAGGAGTTCTTGTGCCTCAGCCTCCAGAGCAGCTGGGAATACAGGCATGTGCCACCATGTCCGGCTAATTTTTGTATTTTTAGTGGAAACAGGTTTCAGCATGTTGGCCAGGCTTGTCCGAAGCTCCTGTTCTCAAGTGATCCACCCACCTCAGCCTCCCAAATCGCTGGGATTACTGATGTGAACCACCAAACTGGCAAAATCTTTTTTTTTTTTTTTTGAGACAGAGTTTCGATCTCGTTGCCCAGGCTGAAGTGCAATGGTGCGATCTCAGCTCAACGCAACCTCCTCCTCTTTGGTTCAAGCGATTCTTCTGCCTCAGCCTCCCAAGTAGCTAGGATTACAAGCATGCACTACCAAGCCCGCCTAATTTTTTTTTTATTTTTAGTAGAGGCGGGGTTTCTCCATGTTAGTCAGGCTGGTCTCGAACTCCTGACCTCAGGTGATCCACCCGCCTCAGCCTCCCAAAGTGCTGGGATTATAGGCGTGAGCCACCGCACCCGGCTGCACCAGCAAAATTGAGCTAAGTTAGTTTAACGTTAATCATCACAAGTATCAACTTTAGGCTAAGCAAGTTATTTATCTCATGAAGTTTTGTCAAAATGCCCAGGCAAAACCAAGATATTGGAAGCAGGCTGGCAACGTAGAAGGAGTAAACAAGTGATTTGCAGTCAAGTGTTAGAATCCTGGTTCTCTCTCTTACAGTTGAAAATTTGGGGAAACCTTTTCTTGGATCCTCAGATTCCCTATTTGTAATTTTGGATGAGAATGTGTATCTTGCGGAATTCGTAAGGATGTAAGATGCTATGTGAACAGAAGCCAACACCGTGAGTGGAATAACAGGCATTCAGCAAAGAATGACCCCAGGTGTAATAAATACTGTTTAAACAAGAAGTCCCTTATACATTCAGTACTGAAGTGCAACGCTACCTGTTGGAAAGTTATAGGCCTACCTTACCAATAATATTTATCTAGGATTTAATCTCTCTTTAACAAATGTATGATGAGAAACATTTCTTGGGCTATTCAATAATTTGATTAATATTCATGATTTTGGCATGATTACATTTTTTTTTTTTTTTTTGAGATGGAGTCTTGCTCTGTTGCCCAGGTCAAAATGCCCTGGCATGATCTCAACTCACAGTAACCTTCACCTCCTGGGTTCAAACGATTCTCCTGCCTCAGCCTCCTGAATAGCTGGGATGACAGGTGCCCACCACCACGCCTGGCTAAGTTTTGTATTTTTAGTAGAGATGGAATTTCACTATGTTGGCCAGGCTGTCTTGAACTCCTGACCTTGTGATCTACCCACCTCAGCCTTCCCAAGTGCTAGGATTACAGGAGCAAGCCAGATTGCTTTCTTAACCATAATATAGCACATCATTAACTCTACTTAAACATTTTTGTAAACTTTCTTTTCCATCACTTTGAGGGTTGTAACTTTATTACTTTTTCAACTTAGGTGACTTCAGAATCTTTTACCTCTTAGGTTGAAAAACTGGTATCAAAAGACATCGGAAATTAATACAAATTTCTAATGCTTATGCTTTTATTCTAAAATTAGGCCTCGGAAGTCTCTAGAAACAGAGGAGCCTCTTTACTGACTAGGCCAGGGCACAGCCTAGTCGCTGCTATTCGAAGCCAACATCAACATGAGTCATTGCCACTGGGTATGTATCATGCTTCTTTGAGCCCCTGGCTCAAATAATACCAATACCCAGCCTTGGTTTTTTGTTTGTTTTTCTGGGTTTTGTCATGAACCCTTTAATACTCAACATTCTGTGTTTTCTTTCTCCTCTTTTAGGATACAGTGCACTCCCCCACCCCTGCTCCCACCCTCCCCTCTGCCCCTTCCCCTCTTCCTTTCTCCTCACCTCTCTGTTGCCCTTCCTCTCTTTTCTATTCTTTCCCAAACTCCCGGGTCTCTTCTTTCTTATTCTATTCAGTGATTTGTTAACCCAGTGCACAAGAGTATGGTTTAAATGAGGAGGTGAATTGTACTGTTGCCAGACACAGTGTTTAACGTATCCCTCTCTTTCCATGGATGTATGGCGGAAAGTTTACAGTCTCCATTCCTAACTTCAGCCACCTTTTTCCAAAACATATGCCGCTTGTATCGAGGAAAACAAAGTGAGAGCATGTAAATGGCGCTTCCATTATCACTACCGGGAAATCAACACATGGATTTCTTTGCACTCATAAAGAATCTTTTACCATAACTATGGCAAAATGACCAAGAAAAATTAGAAGGAAGAGAAGAGAACTCTCATGGGAGAGCTATTTTGTTCCCCTTTACCTGTTCATGCAGAGATGCATTAATACCCAGTAAAGATCCTGAAATGTTAAGGACGATTAACATAGATCTGGCTCACTTTTAGTTTGAGCCCTTGAAAAAATTATAATGCTATTATGTCACATTTTAAAAACTCTCGAGAGCGTGCATTTTTTTGATGAGTATGCTGCCTGCCCTTCAAACTCCTTCATTAATCCAGGTATGAAGCAGCCATTTTCCAATCATCAGCGTGATTATCTCTGGGCTGCAGACCCAACCGCAGCTCTGTGCTTTTGTCTGTTTCAGCATATAATGACAAGATTGTGGCATTTCTTCGCCAGCCAAACATTTTTGAAATGCTGCAAGAGCGTCAGCCAAGCTTAGCAAGAAACCACGCACTCAGGTAAGGCTCACCCAACACTCCCTGGAACTCTAGGACTTTCCAGCCATTTTCCTGCTGGGAAACACCTCTGTGGAGAAAAAGCAGAAGCTTATCGTGCGTTTTATTTGTGCATTTAAATGAGAGTTTGAATCCTTAAGGTGAAGGGTTTGGGAGTTCCTATTTTTGGGAAATGGCATAATGAGAGACAGTCATATTATCAGATTACGTATCATTTATATGGTACTGAAATGATTTCCACTGAGTTGGCAGGAAGCACATTGATTTGGAGGAAACAAAATAGCTTCCATTAAAAAATTATTTATGTAAAACACCATATAAATTACTTTTAGTTTTGAAATATAATTGTTGAGGCCGGGCGCGGTGGCTCACGCCTGTAATTCCAGCACTTTGGGAGGCCGAGGTGGGTGGATCACGAGGTCAAGAGATCGAGACCATCCTGGTCAGCATGGTGAAACCCCGTCTCTACTAAAAATACAAAAAATTAGCCGGGCATGGTGGCGGGTGCCTGTAATCCCAGCTACTCAGGAGGCTGAGGCAGGAGAATTGCCTGAACCCAGGAGGCGGAGGTTGCAGTGAGCCAAGATCGTGCCATTGCACTCCAGCCTGGGTAACAAGAGCGAAACTCCGTCTCAAAAAAAAAAAAAAAAAAAGAAATATAATTGTTGAATGGTAAACCAAATACTGAGTGACCATGTTCGAAAATAAACAAGCAAACAGAAAGTTTACTGTGTGTTCTGACTACTTACATCTTACTCTTCATTGGGGTCATTTTTGAACAAGTGCTGCTGAAACTCTGAATCCCTTCATGGGGAGGGGATAGCAATCTAAAATTATAAAGAGAAAATACTCCCTGAACCTGAGTCCTGCTTTCTCACCAAAATATTCAAACATCTCTTTCTTTTGGTTTAGTCTCCAGCCTTCCAAAAGCTGGAGAGGCCTGGGGGTTAAGAGCACATCCCTTTGACGTTTGAATTCTTATTCTATCGTATAGGGACTGTTGATGGAGGTATGTTATTCAATCCTCTGCCCTTAGTCTCCTTGTCACTGAAATGGGGGTCGCAATGTGGGTGTGGTTGTGACACTTACATGAGGATGTGTTAAAGGACAAGGTAGGGTGAGTGAGAATCCCATCAGTGGCCGCCGTTCAGTCTTCCCTGCCCATTCGGTGCAGTCTTGTGAATCGGGCTGATACCTGCAGTACTCTGACTTCCTCAGTGAATCACTAGCAACTTCAGGTAGCCCCTTTGCCTTGCAGTCCTTGCCACTCCCACCAGAATGGATCATTCACTATTCTTTCCCCTCCAACACTCCCTCATTGACACCTCTGTTCCCTGTATTTTCACTCTGTAAATTAGAGCCACCACCCTCCCAGCTGTTCTTCATCTCATCTCCTCCCTCTTCTTCCAGCCTTCCTTTCTCTGCCCCCCTGCCATGGTTCAAGTTGAGGTGCTCATCATTGCTCTTCTGGACCATACAGGGGTCTCTCCTAAAATATTCCCTATCACCCTACCATAACCGGAGTTACCTACTTAAAGCATAGGTTAAATCACATCCTCCCTACTCTTCAAAAAAGCTTTCATGATTTCTTTTTTTGTGAGACAGAATCTTGCTCTGTTGCCTGGGCTGAAGTGCAGTGGTGCAATCTCAGCTCACTCTGACCTCCACCTCCCAGGTTCAAACAATTCCTGAGCCTCAGCCTCCCGAGTAAGTAGTACTACAGGCACACGCCACCACAGCCGGCAAATTTTTGCTAAATTTTGTATTTTCAGTAGAGATGGGGTTTCACCATGTTGGCCAGGCTGGTCTCATCCTGACCCCAAGAGATCTACCCACCTCAGCCTCCCAAAATGCTGGGCTTACAGGTATTAGCCACCTCACCAGGGTTAGAGTCAAAGTCAAGTTTTTTTTGGTTTTTGGTTTTTTTGTTTGTTTGTTTGTTTTGAGATGGGGTTTCACTCTTGTTGCCCAGGCTGGAGTACAATGGCGTGGTCTCGGCTCACCGCAAACACTGGGTTCAAGCAATTCTCCTGCCTCAGCCTCCTGAGTGGCTGGGATTACAGCCATGAACCACCATGCCCAGCTAATTTTGTATTTTTAGTAGAGGCGGCGTTTCTCTGTATTGGTTACACTGGTCTCGAACTCCTGACCTTAGAATATCCACCCACCTTAGCCTGCTAAAGTGCTGGAATTACAGGTGTGAGCTGCCTTATTCGGGCTAATGTCAGTATTTCTAAGCACAATGTCCGTGGCCTCCAAAGTCTAGCCCTAACCTAACTCTCCATCCTGTGCTAAGCTCATCCTTCCAGGGTATTCCACCTCCACTACACAGGCTGTGTACTCTCCTGCCTTTGTCTTTCCTGGAATGACTTCCCTGTTAAGAACGTCTCATCCCATTTTAAAGGCTCAGAGCAAATGCAAAAATTCAGTGATCTAGACAGGTTTTAGTATTTCTTTTGTCTTGCTTTGATAGCATGCTTTTGTGCCTCAAAGATATTTTTAGATCTCTCATATTCTGGTGTTTACTTCTGTCTCCCTACAGTACTCTAAGCTCTTTAGAGCAAGGTCTTTCTCTTCCTTGTCTTTGTGCCCACTCTGCCCCTTAGAACCTGAAATGGGGGTCACAATGTGGGCATGGTTGTTATATGTACAGGGGGTGTGTAAAGTATAAGGCAGGGTGAGCCAGAATCCCGTCAATGGCTGCCTTTCATTATTCCCTGCCCATGTGGTGCAGTCTTGTGAATCAGGCTGATAGCTGGGTATGTATGGGATTGAAAATAGGAAACACCATGCAGTATGGGATTTTAAAAATAGGAAACACCAATTACTTTTAGAGTGAATGAAAGATCTTTAGCATGAACAAATGAACCCTGGCATGATGGATTGTTACTTTCATTTATGTTCAACTCTTAAGGATTCTCTGCCCAAGTTTCACTACTGCACCTGCCGCAGAAGGCAGGTCATACTCAGCCACATGGGTCACTCATTCATGAACTGCTCTTCAACTCACCTAACAACCTAAGGGAATTTTCAAGGGATTTCCAGGGGAGTTGTATTATCTTAAGGGTTTTCGACTCATGATTGCTCTTGAACATTGTTTACGTTACTGATTCTACCGCTAAGTAATGAATTCACTGTTCACTTTTTGGAAGACTTTCAACTCACCAAAGACACTGAAGCCTCATTTTAATCATTCGAAAAGTTTTCTTTTTAAAGTAATTCCCTATATAAAAGAGTGGAATACATTTCCAAAGGACAGTAAACTGTTTTCAGCCCTATTATTTATCACATTGTAACAAAATCCAGGCAACTTTAAATGTTTTGTTGCAGTACGGGATTGTACAATTATGATTTTGCAGAGCTGAGGGCACTTGAAATCAGGACACATTGGAATTGAAAAAAACTTGGAAATTATCTAGTGTAGAAACTTATAACCTATTTGGAGATTATGAACTCCTCTGAGATGCTGATGGAGGCTTCTGTGGACTCTCCTCTCTATATAAATATAAACCTCTGAATATAATTTCAAATAGTTAATGGACCCTAAAGAAACTGTGGACCCAGGTTGAAAACCCAAATATTTCATCAAAAACAGAAGGCTCACAATGACTATCAGAAACTAGACTATGAGACAACAGAACTAAAAAAGCAGAAAGAAAAGAGCAAGAACATGTTATTCAGGAGGTCAAGCCTAAGAGATGCAGGAAGCCGGGCCCTGCTCTCCATGACGAGGCCTCCACCTGCCTCGAGGGCCATGTCAGGGTGAGTCAGATCCACTTTGAAGATTCAGAAATTGAAAAGAATACCACTCTCCTCAGGACCCAAGCCAGAAAAACTCATGGCTTCCTCTGTGGTCCTCAAGAGCAGACAGTGACCCCTGTTCAGCCATTGCTGTTCTCCAGGAGTCATGGAGTCTACATCTTGGGTCCGGGAAGCCAGTTGCTGGGTTTGAGTATTGAGAAAACTGTCCAGACAACAGCAGTGACTTGCAGTGAAAAGCAGGAAGCCACATGTAGAGAAGGGGATGGAGCCAGAAAACCCAGAGGTTAATGGCATCTGTTTTCTTTAAGGAGCATGGAGGCAGTCCTTCAACTAGTGCTTTGATTGTGTAGTTCATCTGAATCAGGATTGTCTCAGGGTTATGTATGCAGTAGCAAGCAAAACAAACATGTAAACTCAAAATGAATTTACAATCTATTGAGGGAGACAGATAATAGACAAGCTTGGGGTTGGTTTTTTTTAAGCCAAATATATAGCTACATACTATGTTAAGTGCCATGAAGAACCTGATTAGAATTCAGCAACAGTGGATAATATGCTGGTGCAGAGGAAGAGGACTTACATCCTAAGCCGAAGGCAGGGAAGGCTTTTCCAAGTAGGTGGTGCTTAAGCTGAAACCTGAAAGATGAGGAGTTGTGCCTTGAGATGCAAAGTAGAGGTCAGGGAGAGAGTACGCAAAAGCCCTGAGGCAGGAAAAGCTTAGCTGTAAGTGAAGAATAGCAGAAAGCTAGTGTGGCCCTGGTGTAGATTGGGTGGGTAGGCGAGACCTACCCTGGTCAAGTTGCAGAGGGAGGTCCTATCACCAATAGGGAAAAATTTTATTTGAAGGGCAATTCTATTTGAGAAGTAATTGAGAAGCTTTCAGCTGGAAAGAAATACGATTGCATCTGTGTTTTTAATGGCCACAGATGCAATATGAAATGTGATTGCATCTGTGGTCATTAAAAACACAGATGCAATGTTTGGGCAGCCCTATGGGAAAAAGATAGGCTGGAGAGGGGCTATGATGGAAGAGGGGCTATGCAGGCAGCTATTATATTAACCCACGTGAGAGATGATGGCCGTGTGGATAATGGTAAAATATGGATGAAGAGGAGGAAGCAGTTTGGGGTGATACGGTGGATACAGAAACAACAGGAGCTGATGACAGCTTGAACGTAGTGGGTGAGGAGAAGAGACCAATTAAGAGTGACAGCCAACTATGGGGCTTACACAGGTGAGTGGATAATGGTGTCATTTACTGAAATGGGAAAGAATGGAGGACTGACCTGAGGAGAGAAAGAAGGTCAAGGATTTCTTTTTGTATATTGAGTTTGAAGGTCTTTGAAGCCACAAGTGGAGATGTCAAGATATCAAGGAGGCGGGCAACTGCCCTGTCCTGAGCTCTAAAGAAAGTGTGCTCTGGAGTTTTCCCGATGGCCAAGAGAGAGTTGCAGGAGAGACAGCTGATGTTCTCACCCCTGGATGTCTTCCCCAGTTCTCAATGCACTTTGGGATGGAGTCCTGGGGGCATCTGGAGGTCCCCTGCGCCACTGGCTCTGCATGAAATATTGCTAGATATGACAGGGGGTATAATATCCGAGGGAGAGCCACCAAAACTCTCAGAAAATTGTGCTTCGCATTCCGACAGCTGGATGCGGTCCATATGGTGGTGCCACGATAGAACCGCTGCACTGGGTGGCACTTTCTAAACTGGGGATAGCACTTCACTGCCCTAGTGGAGATGGCCCTCTCTGGGCTTCTTTTTCTCCAGGCAGAGAGGCCAGGGGCTTCACCAGATGTGGATACCTTGGAGCAGCAGAATAACCTGACCGAGGGGACATTATCATTGAAAGAGCATAGAAATTTGAGGTCATTCATAAGGCCAACGTCATTAAACTAGAGGAGAAGATTCAAGAGCATCTTTCAAACAACAGGGCTGTGAATTAGTGTCAGGATTTGGATTAAAAAGCCCAGGGATGGGGTCAAGAACATAGGCAGAGGGAGAAGCAGGCGATGAGGCGGCTGGGGATATTCTGTTCTCTTGGCTGGGCTTCCACATGTTCCCTGCAGAATGACATGTCGGCAGTGCTGCTCCCTTTTTCAAACCCCAGCGAAGCCACTGTAAACACACCCCCAGGTTCTGGGGATGCCATTTCCTTCAGCGGTGCTTCACCCGCACTGAAGTTGGGTCACAGTGCATTTCCCAGTTTAATCCCATTCTGTCTTGTAGAGGCTCAAAATCTTCCCTTGCCTTTAAAAAAAGATCTCCATACAAAAAGGTAAAATTGATTATATTTTTCCATACAAGTGATGATAAAGATTTGGATTTATATTAATATAATCAAAGAGAGGAAAAAGTTGTATCTGCAGTATTTTGGAAAATAGATTTTTTTTAAAAAATCATTCATCTTTTGGGCCAGGCATGGTGGCTAAAGCCTATAATCCCAGCACTTTGGAAGGCTGAGGTTGAGGTGGGCAGATCTCTTGAGCCCAGGAGTTCAAGACCAGCCTGGGCAACATGGTGAAACCTGATCTCTACTAAAAATACAAAAATTAGCTGAGTGCGGTGGTGCACGTCTGTAGTCCCAGCTACATTGGGGGACTAAGGCCAGAGGATCACTGGAGCCTTGGAAAGTTGAGGCTGCAGTGAGCCGTGATCAGGCCACTGCACTGCAGCCTGAGCAACAGAATGAGATCTTGTCTCAAAATAAAAATTTTTTTGAAGAAAATACAAAAACTAGCCAGGTGTGGTGGCACACACCTATAATCCCAGCTACTCAGGAGGCTGAGGCATGAGAATCACTTGGACCCGGGAGGCAGAGGTTGCAGTGAGTTGAGATGGCACCATTACCTTCCAACCGGGACAACAGAGCAAGACTCTGTCGCAAGAAAAAAGAAAAGAAAATCATCCATCTTTACCACTGGGAGAAACTAAGTGAGGAGTGTACAGGATCTGTCTGTTTATTTCTTACAATTATACATGACTCTAAAATTACATCAAAATAAAAATTAAACAAAAAAGAATTAAAGATCTTTTTCAAAAGATCCTTAATTTTCCCTGATTTTTCTGTATCTCTTCAAAAAAGGCAAAAAATATTAACTCCTTTGAAGCATGCATACAATGGAAAGATTCTTGGATATGGTGTTTTTATTATTTGAATGACATCAGGGAAGAAAATTACAAAGTTAATTTGATCCAAAAAAAATTCTACTTATCCATAGACTTACTTGAAATAATTTTCCCAGTTGGAGTTGAAGGTTGTCTAAAAGGGCCAGTAGACAAGTTGTAGCTTACAGAGACAAAACTGATGTCTGTGCTTTGCCTGACCTGGGAGACTGTTCTTGGTTCTGGGGGCCAGGCCCCCTCTGTGCCCAGTGTGGCATTGGCATTATAAACTTTCCATCAGGCACAAGATTTATCACGAGACATGAGCCCAGAACAGTCTTTTAGGAGTCCTCTCTTATCCAGCACCACTCCTGACTGTCTTAGCTACCTGAGGGCCTAACTCTGTGTGTTCCTCAGCTTCTGTATCTGTGCAAGTCTGTAGAAAGGCCGTCCCTTAGAGAGCATCCTGCAAGCCTGCAATATGAGCTTAGAATACGGCAAGATACACCGGATGTTAGGACATCGCTATGCAGCAGTATTGGAAGAGGAAGAAAAGATATCAGAAGATGTATTCCTGGGCTAATGTGTTTATATCTAATTTTCCTCTTCTTTCTCACATGATTCAGGGAGAAAATCCATTACATTCGGACTGAGGGTAATCACGGGCTTGAGAAGTTGTCCTGTGATGCAGACCTGGTCATTTTGCTTAGGTAAGGGGCTAGGCCTAAAGCAGTTCTGGGAAAGCTTCCCTGGGCAATTCTCCTCCATCATGGCCATCCAGAAAACGGCCTAGACTGAAACACTCACGGCTTGTTCTAGAGGATTCTAGTAGCTGCAACGGAAGTGGGACCCCACCCTTGTACACCTGTGTCCATCACAGTCCTTAGATTTACAACTGAGGTACCAAGAGCTGCGTTAAGTACTTGATGGAAACTTTGTTGTAGGAGTAATCAGGGTTTAAAACAACACTGAGAATTTGCAGCCAGGATGTACCTGTCCTTCTATACTAAATTTCAATCTGATTGCTTTTGTTGCTTTGTGAGAACTATCACTGCTGTTACCCCAATTCATGAACACTTTCTCAGGGATGTAAAACTGACTCTTTTTTTGTTTTCATTTGCAGTCTCTTTGAAGAAGAGATTATGTCCTACGTCCCCCTGCAGGCTGCCTTCCACCCTGGGTATAGCTTCTCTCCCCGCTGTTCACCCTGTTCCTCACCTCAGAACTCCCCAGGTAACGGGAATCTGGCCTAATAGCTCACATTAAGTGGCCATGTGTGTTTCCCCAGGTGAAGGTGAATGAAAGGAACTCTGTATGTGTGTTCTTTCTCTTGACATTTCCAGTTCCCTAGTTGAAAAGGCACTGTATAGGTTTTGACAAACTGCTGCCTGTTTTTTATAATGTCCCCCCAAGCTAGAATGGGGTTTACAGTTTGAAGTGTTTGGGGAAAAAAAAATGTTTTGCTGGACAGGTGGCTCATGCCTGTAATCCCAGTGCTTTGGGAAGCTAAGCCAGGAGAATTGCTTGAGCCCAGGAATTCAAGACCAGTCTGGGCAATGTAGCAAGATCCCCTTCTCTACAAAAACATTAAAAATAAGCGAAGTGAGGTAGCACGTGCCTGTAGTCCCAGCTACTAGGGATGCCAAAGCAAGAGGATTCCTTGAGCCCAGGAGACTGAGGCTGCAGTGAGCTATGATTTCACCACTGCACTCCTGCCTGAACAACAGAGAGAGACCCTATTTCAAAAAAAAAGAAAAAAAATTTTAAGATAGTATTTTATGGCACATGAGCACTATATGAAATTTAAACTGCAGTGTCCATAAATCAAGTGTAATTGGAACCCAGTCATGCCTGTTCTATGGTAGCTTTCACACCAGACATGAGAAAGAGCAGCAGAAGCCACGTGGTCTGCAAAGCCTAAAATATTTATTCTCTGGGCCTTTGTAGGAAAAGGTTACTATCACTGCTGTAAATTACTATTGCATTCCAAAGTCACTCTCCAAGCATGTCAAAGGGAAGTGCCCTTTCTGAAACATTCTACCTTGTAACTCAGAATTCGATCGCACACCACTTTTGGTGATACGGCTGCTAGGAACTATCGTTATATCTCCACAAAGATTCCAAAGAATTTTCTAACACATTTCAAAATTACTTCCCCTGTTTTCTTTATGTATGAGAATGAACTTATGATACAGAAATTCTTTGTATGTATTTTCCGTTCCAAGTGAGGGAATATATATGTTAAACTGTTCAGTGAATAAAAGATATTTTCACCAGGCACAATGGCTCATGCCTGTATTCCCAACACTTGGGGACTCTGAAGTGGGCGTTTCACTTAAGCCCAGGAGTTCGAGAACAGCCTGAGCAATATAGTAAGACCTCATCTCTACCAAAAAAAAATTGTTTTAATTAGTCAGGTGTGTTGGTGCACATCTTTAGTATTAGCTATTCAGGAGGCTAAGGCAGGATCTCTTGAACCCGAGAGGCAGAGATTGCAGTGAACTGAGACTGTGCCACTGTACTCCACAGCCTAGGTGACAGAGCGAGACCCTGTCTCAAAAAACAAACAAACAACAACAAAAAAAGATATTTTCCGGATTCATCAATATAAAGAGCTTAGGTCAAATCCATACCTCCAGACTGGATCCAGATACTGAAGAACTTTTCCCTTTGTATTTTACTGGCATTAGCACATTATAGGTTTCTGTGGTTGCACCATTTAAAGTAAAAGGGATTCATTTGTAACACCTAGGAACATCCCATCTCGCAAGCTCTAGGGTCAGGGTCGCAATGTGGTTTTTGACACTAGTGGTGAAATGCCGAAGAGAAACAGAGCTTGGCAATAAATAAGCTTTGTCTCCGAGAAGGGATGTCACACTCAGAGTTAGGATCATTCAGTACTGCCGTAGGCCTCCAGACTAGAGTATCTTTCAGTTCTGGTTCCTCCAGGTTGTAGCATTCAGAACTCTCTTAGAGGTAGTTTTGCTAGTGGTTAGACTATGTTTTCAGGATAGTCTCTCCCTGTCGTCACTTCCTTCAAACAAGTTTACCAACAGCATTGTTAAGGAAATGCGCAATGCTTGCTACCTCTGACACACGACATAATTAAGATCCCATTGTCTAACATGGCCAGGAGCTTTGCTAAAGCCAGCCTCAGCACAGTCACACACTTTCAGCGCTCAGAGGGAAACCTGTTTCTGGGGAGCAAAGACAAAAGCAGGGTGCTTTGGGGAAAAAGTTTGGAGAGGAGCTGTAGATCTGATGATGGTCTGCCGTGTTGTAGAGATTGGCCCTGATAATATTGTCTGTGTTTTGGTCTACAGACTTTGATACTAGACTATGATGTTAATATCATTATATGGGAGAGATATCCTATGACAAATAGAAAAATAAGAGCAAACGAAGAGTTATTTCCTAAATGAGAATTATTTGGATATTCTAAAAGGAATAAACTTTCCTGATAAAGATATGACTGATGCCATGAATCTAAGTAATCAACCAGTTCATTTTGTCAAAGTACTTCTTTATTTTCTAGCATTGACCACAGGGTCCTAGAATATGTAATCCAAACATGTTGATTTTAAACTTTACCATCCCCGTTTTCTTAGACCTTTATGAAATCTACCCAGGTGCTACAGAGATTATGAATCATGACATTTATGCCAAAGTACTTTGTAAAGCATCAATTATTTGAAAAATGCACAGCAGTGATCATGGTAGTACCAGTGGTCGTGAAAATCATAATACAAAATATACTGAAATGTGCTGGACAGAAAATTATACTTGCATGTACAAACTCGTATTCTAGTTCGGTGAACATCCTGAAACGTGGTATCCCACCAAGGCCACTTCTTTTCAAGTGGTGGCCATTGGTTCCCTCAGGCCCAGGTGTTGCAGGGCGCGGGTGGGCGGGGCCCCCATGTTTCCTTGCTTTTACCACTCAGCCCGTTCCTCCCCTCCCTTTCTCCCAGTTGCTGTCATCTACAACCTTTTTCTCATTCTCAAGGCCTGCGGCCCCTGTCTGGTAGTCTTTCTCTCCATCCCAAGCAGGTCCTTCCGTCCTCCTGGGTGACTTCAACATCAACAGGGACCCTCATTCCATTCCCTGGCTTCCCAGTGTCTGGACTTTGTCTGCAATGACTTTCTATTCCCCCGCCTCAACCACTTATTCCCAAAATCACATTCCTGACCTTATGATCATCTCCAAAATCACTAATTCAAACCTCCTCTTCCCTTCCAATGTGCTTGATCCACTACCCTCCCTCGTACCATCCTTTGGCCTCATCAAGGTCTCTGGTCCATGGACTTTTCTCCTTTCCTTTCTATCATCTTTCCCTGGTGCAGCGGAGATTCTGCAGTTCATCACTTCAGTAGCATCCTTGCCAATGCCCTGAACTCTCCTGACCCTCTCCATTTTGTTTGCACCCTCTGGCAGAGCTTTACCGCCTAGATGAACCTTCCTCTCTGCTCCCCCCACCCCCCCGCAATCAGCACTCTTGGGAAAATTCACCTCACAAGGCAGATTAACAATTCTAAATGAGTCATCTCTTATCTCACATGAACCTTGAACACCGATCTCTACCGTTATTTCAAACATTTCCCCTAAAGCCTCCAACCCTCAGCACCCCTTCTGTCTCCTAGCAGATGACATCCTGTTTTACTTCACTGAGAAGCTGAAGCCATACAGCAGAAACTTTCCCAAAGGCCTGCCATCAGACCCACAAGGCTAGCAAACCTGCACACATCTTCTCTGTCACGCCCGTGCATGAAAGGAGGTGTCTTTGCTAAGTCGCCATGAACTCTGGCCACCCAGTCCAATCCAGCGGGGAGTTCTCCACCTTCCTAATCTTCGGCAGCCTGTAACATGACCAGCTGCTGTCCCCCGACATCCCGTCTCCAGTTTGCTTCTGGGACACCACTCCAGATGTCTCATCTACGAGAACTCTGACCATTCCTGCAGCCTCACCCTCCTCTTTCTATTATCCTTACAGCTCAAACCCAGGCTTTTTTCTCCACTCAAACTGTGTCTCTCTCCAGACGAAGGGACCATCATCAAAGGCCAAGTTCATGCTCTTCCCCAAAAATGTGTTCTTTTTCTGCTGCTCCCCATCTCAGTGAATGCCGCCGCAGCACATTCAGTTACAAAATCTCACACCCACCTCTCCCTCACTACTTATATTCAATTCACTGCCTCTTAAATACATCTTCTGCCCACTTCTCTTCATCTCCACTGACACCAGCCCAGTCCCATCTGAGCTCTTTAAATCCTCCTTGGTCCTCTGGGGTTTTGTTCTTTTCTGCAGGAAGACAGATGTTTTTATGATTCAATGATATCATGCCGGCCACTAGGCAATGGCTTCCTACTACACTCAGCATAAAAACAAAATTTTTAACAATGTGCTTTGTCCTGTTTGATGCAGCTCCTGCCCACCTCTCAGGCCTTGTTTTTGTATCACTTTGGTCCTTGTACCCTGTGCTCCAGACAAACTGGAATACCACTTTCCATTCTGCCACACGACCTTAGCACATACTGATCTTTCACCTGCAATGCTCTTCTTCTCCCAGCTCATCTCCTCTCTTAAAGCAAAGCCTTTCTTGACCCCTGCAATCGAATTTGCACGTATTTATTCTTCAGATTGTCCCCAGAGAAGCCTTGTCAGACTTAGCCAGCAGATTCTGTGATCTCAAAGAACTGGGTTTCTTTCCTTCATGGATAGCAATCCAATCATCATAACTTGTATTATATACTCATTTCTGAGAGTTTCCCAGCATCAGTCTTCTCTAAATTGTAAGCTTAGTACCTGGAATATAATAAGTAACTAATAAATGGTTATTGAATAGGCAAACCTTGATTCTGGCCGCCTGTAAAACTTGGATAAGAATGTTAATTTTCTATTCTTTTTTAAATTAAAAGGTATACATAGTAAAGTAGTTACAAAGCACTCTAAATGAGACAAAAGTTCTCTATAAAGAGTTAACGAATTATTATTAATGTAAACTTTACTCTTATGATGCAATGTCATCTAACATAAACTCTAATCTAAACTCCTAAATGCTCTGAGCCTTTTTGTACAGGTATGTTTATTTCAGCATCAGTACCAATACAGGAGCATGACAGACTATATTAAAGTCCTACTTACCTCATTATAGATTCAATCACTTCTTTTAGCAATTTACATGAAAAGTTTGGTCTAGTTCAGTTTATGTTATTTTAGATTATGCAAGTACAATTAAGCCAAGAAAAATGCTCATCCAGGACCTGTTAAGAGAAATACAACTTAAAAGAATTAGAGAGGAAGACATAAATATTTATTCTCATTAGAACTCATAAATGAATTTAGTAAATTATTTTTATATTTTAGTATATTATTTCTATTTATTATAAAAGTCACTGAGAGACTGATGGAAATCAAGGGGCTTCTTGGAGAAGGAAAATATGGAGATGCCAGAACGTGCCTCTGTTGGGCTCTTGCTCTACTGTCGCTTTGCGTGTTTGTTCTTCCACAGAAAGTGATGACCTCACACCTGTAATCCCAGCACTTTGGGAGGTCAAGGTGGGTGGAACACTTGAGGCCAGGAGTTCCAGACAAGCCTAGCCAACATGGTAAAACTCTGTCTCTACTAAAAATACAAAAATTAACAAAAATTATCTGGGCATGGTGGCACATGTCAGCACTTTGGGAGACCAAAGTGGGTTTGAATCACCTGAGGTCAGGAGTTTGAGGCCAGCCTGGTCAACATAGTGAAACCCCATCTCTACTAAGAATACAAAAAAAAAAAAAAAATCAGCCAGGTGTGGTGGCATGCACCTGTAATCCCAGCTACTCGGGAGGCTGAGGCAGGAGAATCTCTTGAGCCCAGAAAGTGGAGGTTGCAGTGAGTCGAGATTACACTGCTACACTCCAGCCTGGGCAACAGAGCAAGACTCCATGTTGAAAGAAACAAAAAAGAAGGAAAGAAAGTGATGACCTCTGTGTGCTTCTCTCTGCAGGTTTACAGAGAGCCAGCGCAAGAGCCCCTTCCCCCTACCGGAGAGACTTTGAGGCCAAGCTCCGCAATTTCTACAGAAAACTGGAAGCCAAAGGATTTGGTCAGGGTCCAGGGAAAATCAAGTGAGTGCTCCAGTGCTTGGTACTGAATTCAGACAGTAGATTTTTCTGTCCCTTTCTCCCCTACACCCTTGTAATATTGTTTTTGAGATTGGATACTCTGGCTTGGTAGAGGTTATGGGGGGGCGGAAAGAAGGAAGTTGGGAAGCTGGAAGGGAAAAAGAAAAGACATTAAGAAATTGGAAGAGAGGCAGGAAGAGAAGGAAAGAGAGGGAAAGAGAATGAGAAAGAACAGAAAATTTTAGACAAAGGCATGTAGAAAAATCAGAGGGTAGACCTTTTCAGAAAACAAGGAATCTTGAACTAAATTTAAAAATCTCACATTTCCCTTCACTTATTCTTGGGGAAAACATTTAACTCATTAGTCAAATTTAAGGACTCTCGGTAACTTTGTAATTGAAGTCTAAGTAAAATGTTGTTTATATTTTCCCTTCCGAGTTTATTATTTTCATCTGAAAGAGCTGAACCCAAACTCAGGAATCTTAAGCAATAGCCTATGAGTTGATCAAAATGAACTAACTTAAAAGTAGTTCAGTCTGATGGAATGCACGAGCAATGTACACATCTTTCTTGTGCTCCTTATGTTTTGAAAAGCGTGTTCAGATAATCCCTCGGTGAACTGATAGAACCTGTGTCCTGCTTTTCCTCTATCGTTGGAGAGACTGGGGAGTGAGACCCTAACGCTGGGCACTCACAACTCACTTAGAACCCTGTCCAGTGTCCTGACTTCAGGGCCACCGCTCACCACCTCTTCTCCTTCTCAGGCTCATTATTCGCCGGGATCACTTGTTGGAAGGAACCTTCAATCAGGTGATGGCCTATTCGCGGAAAGAGCTCCAGCGAAACAAGCTCTACGTCACCTTTGTTGGAGAGGAGGGGTGAGGCACCAGGAGTTTTATGCAGATACCTAAGTGTGGGTGGGCCAGAGCCTCAGGATCAGGGGTGATTTTTCTCAGGAGAGAGCAGGGTAGCTGTCAGCCTTCACCCCAAGATGGTTCTGATCGCATCCTCCCGGGTCTTTCTTTTCAGACATTACCAGGCTTTAAATGTCATGTTCTTCAAAAACCTAAAATGTTTGAATCTTAGGTGCACAAGAGTCTGAGATCACATGGTTAAAGAATAAGCCAAAAATCAGTCCCGGGACACTGGATCTTTTCTTTTTAGGTGTTGTAACCTTCTGAGTATCTAATTTAAAAAACTCTTTCTCTTAAAGTACATGTATACAATACAACTTCTTGCCAAACTTTTCATATCATTTCAGTGATTTCCTGGGAAACTACCTCAACCATGAAGGGCAAGCCCATGTAGGGGGTGTATCAAAATAAACTTGGAAGCCTTTTCAGTCCACCCACATCACACACACACACACGCACACGCACACGCACACGCACACACATGCATGCACACACTCACTGTTGCAGGAAATTCTTTTATGTGTCCCACAGCAAAGGCTTTGTTTTCCATGGGCCAGCTGTGTGTTTCAGCTCAGAGGTGTTAGATGATCAAAAGAAAACATTAAGGAACGCTGCTTTAAGAGTTTATCCATGGATATCTGGTTAAGAAACATCTCCAAACCATTACTGCGTCCTCATTTTCTACAGCAAATTAATACTTCCACTGAAATTCACTCCAAAGAGTAGAGGCTGTTCTCTACTTTCCCCAGCACCAACTCTGAAAGGGCCCACTAGAATCAGGGTGACAACGGGTCCCCCTACCTCCGAGCATAGAATGAGCTTCCTGGACCTCTGCTTTCTTTGCAGCCTGGACTACAGTGGTCCCTCGCGGGAGTTCTTCTTCCTTCTGTCTCAGGAGCTCTTCAATCCTTACTATGGACTCTTTGAGTACTCAGCAAATGATACTTACACGGTGCAGATCAGCCCCATGTCCGCATTTGTAGAAAACCATCTTGAGTGGTAAGCTCTATAATGTTCACTTTCTTGTGTTTGAAAGTTCTCCTCTTTCTTAGCCAGAATTCGACAGCATTTCTCAGAGGCCACTGTGTTTAGAGCAGTAGCCAGATGTTATGAAGGATGATGAGAGTGAATGACAGAGCCCAAGGAGGAAGAGTCTGTTAGTCTTCACTCAGAACACACAATGAATTTACCAAGGATACTGATAATATGTCAACTGCAAAATGATGTGAGAAAGAGTAATTGCCTAGTGAGAAGACTCTAAGATCAGTAGACATAGGTCATGAATGGTGATAATTTTACTAAAATTATAAGGTTCCCAGTGGAGGCTTCATGGAGGTATTTTGGGGTTTGAAATTGCTTGACCTTGGACCAATGACTTTAGCACTGTGAACACTGGCTTCCGCATCTTACTGTAAAATATGGCTGTTAGGTCAGGTGATCTCTATGCGTTCTTCTGACTTGAAAATCCGGTACGTCTTTGGTTTCTGGGTTGTCTGCTGTTGAGGTGTTCTATTACCACCTACTGATATGTGTAAGAAGATTGGTATCCGTCAATGCTGTGCAGTTTTGTGAGTGCAGATGTGGGTATTAGAGGTGTCCAGAAAGCTGCTGGGACATCTGGGATGCAGGCACTTTCCTGCTGCATCACCATATGCCTGATTTGAAAATTACCCCTGCTCTGACTGCAGGAGCTCCTGCTGCGGAGAGGGAAATGAGTCCAGGAGATGGCTAATGTGGGTTCTTCTCTAACATGGCTTATTTATGCTGCTGTTGAAGGGAGACATTGGGGTGACGCCTGGGCCGGCTGGTGTTAGAGCCCAAGCTCCTATAGTTTGGCTATAGAGTATCAGTATAACCCACCTGTGCTAAGGCTTCTGGACACGGCATATGCCTTCTCTCCAGATGCACTCCCCGCCCTGACGTTCTTGAGCTGAGGTAGAGTGAGTGCACATCAAGGGTTTGGCACAAGATGAAACAAAATGTGCCGTTTTCAGCCCCAGAATGTGTGAATAAATGGATGGTGGAGCATAGCAGGCAAGTCACTGCAGAAGGGCTTCAGAATGGAATCTGCCTGTCACTGAGCACGCATTCAGGCAGGCTCCATTCTGATGGTAGAGAGTGCTGTGACCTGTAACACAGGAATATACACGTACACAGATTATACCTAATACAGTCCCTCAACTCTCCCTTAGTTTGTGAGCATGACATTGAGGATGGTGTCTTAGAGGTCATGAATTGGAATTGGCAATCAACAGAGAAATATTTTCATCAAATATCTTATATAAGACTATGTTAGGTGGTATGAGGAATACCTTCACTAATTTAACAGTTATAAAGTAAGCACATACTGTGTGCTGGGAGAATACAAACATGAAATGAGCAAGGTCTCATCCCTCAAAGAGACTAGTGTGAGGAACACATGAGTCAGCCAACAATTACAATACAATAGCTTAAATGCTCAGTTATACACACATATGGGGATGTGTGTATAACTGCACATGTGGGCATGTGTTTGCCTGAGATACATAGATAAGCCTGAGAATTGTATTCAATCACAAGGGGAAAATATCTTTCTCTGTCCAAGGTAGGGGGTCAGGGAGTGAGGAGTGGAGTCTGTGAATCTTGTAAAAAGAGGGGACAGTGGCATAGGACAACAGGAACAAGCACTACGGTGGGCATGAATGGGACCCGACGTTTGACGAAAACCTTGGTGTCAAGCACGTTTCAGTGCAGCCATGAAATAAGGCCACAGGCGAAGGCCTGATGGGAAGCACAGATGATACTTGTGGCCCACACTTGGCTGGACTGCCTGCTGAGAGTGGCCTCCATCGTTTTTCACAATGACTGTGCCTCGCCTGCTGCCCAGTCCCTGCAATCAAACTGGCTTTGTGGCCTTCTGCTCATTCATACATTGCAGGGCTGAAGAGGCTCTGTGGATGTGCCTGTTACACCTCATCACATTGAGGAAGGAAATTGTGTGATACAGGGATTTTGCAAGGATTACCAAAGTTGTCTGGATGGATCCCTGATGAGGGCTTGGCAGTGCCTGCCCTCGAGATGCAAGTTAACCGCTGTGTCCTTTGCTAAAGGACTTGGCCCCACACTAAGTGTGCTGACTTTCATCCGCTGATGTTCCCACTCATGTGGAGAGTATTTACGATGCATCCTGGAAACACAATTGCAGGTAGCTTTCTGAGCCGACTAGCAATCTAACCTGAGCCTGTGGTGATGAGATTTCCTTCATCGCCACTCTGGATGCCACTGACTAGTGATGAAATGGGCAGGGAACTCCCCTCTGATTTAAAGCTCCAACTCTGAATGCCTCAGTCCTGAGAGTCCTCAGCCTGGCATGCAAAACAACCCCCGTACCTCCACGGGGTCAGAGATCAGACTGTATCATGACCCACCATGTGGAGTCATACTTTTCTTCTCTTATCAGTGGCTCCAAATTCCTGAGCAAGGGAAACTGGTTTTCTTTGCACAGAGCCACAGCTGGCTGAACGTAAGCCACCTAGGTAGAATCTCATTTAGTTTTGAACAGGAAGCTCTGATCAGCTTTGGGATATCTTAACAAAACCATGATGCTGCAATTACTCCTTTTGTTTACTTTCATATCATAAGCCATCCATGTGCCATGTGGCAAATAGATTAACAAACAAAACATGCAGGTTTCTATCTTGTGCCCCTGAGTGTCTCGTTAAGCTCTCTGCCCAGCATTTTAGCAAAGGGAGGCTAGGAGAGCCCAGATCTGGTGATGTGGCTGTGGGTATTTTGCACAAAATGTTGGCAGTGTGTGGGTGCTGTGACACCTGCCCGAAGACCTGTCGTTGTCATTCCTGCAGGCTGCAGGTCCATGACATTCAGGAAACCAGACTCCTGAGTCCTCAAATCTGATCTCCCATGACAGGTGCCACTGGCTGCCTCTTAACCACCCACAGGGTGGACGTGGCTGCCACTGATCTGGGATGGATGTCAAGTACTCCTTCCTCCCTCCCAGGGGGTTCATCAGGAGATTCTTGGGGGCTGAGAAGGGGATGATAATCATCATAGCTTGTGTATCCCTCATGAGGAAATGGAGGGACCAACAGATTACAAGGCATTTTATGGGCACAGCCTTGACTTTGTAAAGCAGGACATTGTCTCTTGACACGGGACAAGCCAGGGCAGGATTCAGTCTGCGTGGGGTACAGAGGTGTCTTCATGGACACTGACGCCCTGCCCACCTCCCTTCACTCTGGAATCAGAGATTAGCATGACCACGGACCTAAAATAAACATGGCAAACACAGGTCAGCTTCCAAAGTTGTTGATCTTCCAAAAATAGAAATTTTATTCTCTAGTAAGGCATATCAGAAAATGCTGTGAAATTAGTATTTATATTTTATAAAATTTATAAATGTATAAAATGCTGACGAGCTACATGAACCTATTTTGTACTGTGGAGCATAATTTTATAGATTATCATAATCGTTAATAAAAATTAGATGAATTTACAAGTCAATTGCTTGTAGGCTAGTGAAATAGTGAAATGACTGGAATTTTCCCTTAAATGGAAGAATTATTACCACTTAACAAACACACACTTAATACCAATTGGTTTGCTATAGAGGAATGAGAAACCAAATGCACTAACTAGAGTTTATATGAATGTTTTAACACAGCTGCTCTTACATGATTATATTTTTTAATGCCTAGCAAAAATCCATTATAAGGCTTCAAAGGGTTAAGCATCACTCAGGATTGACACGGTACTCAGCCGTGGCTGGAGGCAGCATCTTTGCAGTGGTCAATTTTATCTTTTTTCATTAGTCTGCTTCTTTATCCTTCGCTGACTTTCTTCTGTGTCCTATACTCTTACCCATTTTGTCTGAGTTCGCTCTAAAAAATAAGCTCTATCGGAGCAGAGACATTTTGTCTTATTTCACTCTAGCACAATGCCTGGCACTTTGAGGTGTTCAGAACATCTCCCTGACCCCTGGGTGCATAAATGAGTATTAGTCCACAAGTCACACCAGTCTCTTCCTTGTACGAGGGTTAAGATTATTAGAGTGATCCTTCCTGCCATATGCAATTAATTGCTGAAAGTTCACACTTTCCTGGATTGTCTGTGGCTTTAAAGCCCTTGCAAAGTCAGTGATAAATGCACATGTCCCTTAAGAGCTTTACACTCTGGGAACCTGCTCTGCACAGTGCCTGAATGCTGCTTGTTACTGAAGGAAGGCCTCCTCCTCCTTCTCACACTGCACCTGCTCCTGCAGCAGCCACTTCTAGGCTCGCCACTGCCCGAAGACATCGATGGAGAAGCCCCTGACACTGTGTCCTTCCCCTGAAAGCTCCCCTTTGAGAGTACATATTCGACATTCTGGGCTTCCTGCTCGTTGTGTGTGGGCTTTGTATCCACTGGAATAGAGCCAGCTTAATCAGAAGCCCTAGCAGGACATCATGGCTCCACCCACTTCCTTTCTTTCTAGTCCAGTGTTGAGAGATACCAATATGAATAAATATAGTGAAAATTCTGTGTTACACATGTTGAACAAACAGGAAAAAAAAAGTTTGTGTGGTTTTTGTTTGTTTGTTTGTTTTGGTCAGTTTTTTGTTTGTTTGTTTGTTTCTTTTTCATTTTGTTTTGCTGCCTTTGGCCTAAAGAAACTTTCTGCAATTGCTGTTTCGTTCCTTACTTGTATGACTGACTTCCAAACTGAAAGGACCCTGTCAAAGTCAGCAGTGATAATATTCAGGCCAAGGAGAGAGAGGAGATGGAGTCATAAGAGCTCTTTCAAAGCTGGCGCCTATAAGGGGCCACCCACGGACACTGTGGTCACTTGTGGACACAGCCCCTGCCAGACCTGGCCTCAGCAGGACAAAGCTGGAAATAACACTGTCAGTCAACACTTCTCTTCCACCCTCCAGTCCCATCGGCCAAACCCAACCGTAAACCAGAGGACACAGACTCTCCAGACACTGCAACCCACAGTAGCCAGTCCCAAGGTCACAGAGTAG